ATTTTGTCTCCGCGCAGCGTGGGGGTAGAGCCGGGGAGGTGAGGGGCCGCGGGGAGGCCGCAGCCGAAGCGGCGCGGCGCGGAATTAGCTGGCGGGACGAGGGCGGACAGGAGCGAAGAGAGCTGCGTCCCGACAGGCGTTCGCCAGGGGCGCCCCTACCGGCCGAGGCCCCCCCTCTCACCCGCCCGTCGCCGTGGCAACGGGCGAAGCCGCGGCGCGGCTTGACGCGGAGGCTGGGTTCAGGGTCCAGGGTCCGGGCCTCGGAGCCGGTTTGTCTGCCCCGTCCCCAGCGCCATGGCCGCCGAGGTGGCGGTGGTGGGATCGTGTATGACCGACCTGGTCAGGTTAGTACCTGGCGCGGCGGCACGGAGCCCGTGGCCCAGACGGAGCTCGGGCCGCCGCGCCGAGCTGCCGGGCCCGTCAGGGTCAGCCCCTTTGCTGGGAGCCTCAAGGAGCGGGGAGACGGGCCTCGGTCAGCCGCCTCCGCCGTGAGGGGGAAGGGAGACGTGGGTTTGCGGTTTCGGCTGTGCTCGGGGGCCCGGCGGCGCCCTGGCTGGAGCGATATGCCCGGGAAACCGTGCGCTCCGATACTCGTTATCAGCAAAGAAACGATTTGAGAAAGGTAAATAAATCCGATCGGCTGGAAACGCGTTCTCAGCTCAAAGCCGCTCATTTCTGCCGGAAAAGCAAGAATGAGAGCTTGATGTTGTAAAGAAACTGAAATTAGGCCTGTGAAAAAGTAGAACGAAGCCCAGTGCTGCGGTCCACTGTTATCTGACAGAGAGAGAAGGCCCTGAGCTATGCGTATCCATACAGGTCGGGAAGTGGAAGTAAGGAGCCCTAACAAAATCTAGCTCCTCTGCACCACAGAGTGGGTTTTCAAACTATGAAATCCTTTTTTAAAGGAATGTCTTCCTTCTTTTTGATTCATCCTTTGGGCATTTGGGGTTTGGAATTAGGTGCTTGGACTTCACTGTGTTTTTCCTTCTTTCTTTTTGTACATAGGTAAGGTTTCCAAGCTTCTAATAAAAGTTAAAGCAGACAGATTCATGAAAGCTCTTGGTTCCCACAGCCCGACTTTATAACAAATACTAAATATCAGGAGAATTCAAATGAAATTGCAGGAGTTGATGATGATGAAAATACTAATTCAAACTGCCTGACCTTGTTGGCCCCAGTACACTTGCAAATCAGTCCTTTATTTGCACTATATTTAACACATCTGGCTTTAAACTATGTATGCAGAGTTGGTTAAAATAGAATTTGAAAGTGTGTGTGTCTGGACTGCATCAACACATCCTGTTGGGAATTCTGCAGTTAAAAACACAGTTCCTCAATCTGAATCAAGAGGCAGCTACATTGACGCCTGTGGGGCAAGAAAGAGCAGAATACATGAATAGAAGATTATGCTGAGGACGAAGTGCAGTGTAGGCATAGGCCTGCCTTGCAAAAACTCTTAAATAATCATAGAACTTGTATCAGAAAAAAATTAATGCTTTATGTGATTTGCAGAATACACTGCAGTTTACCAGGAAGAATAGTTATCTTGGAGGTCAGAGTAAGATAATGTAGAACTGATCTTGACATTATGTGGATCTGAGCTTATGACGTTATATTGAAACACAAAACATGGCCCTTTATTCTCAGAAAGTTCTTCTGTCTCTCTAAAATGTGGAAACAAAAATAATCAAAACTTTGCCAGCTTAAGCACTACTGCCAGCCATGGGTTTGGGTGCTTTCTTGACAGTTAAACAAAAAGAAAGCAAAGCAAAAAAACAAACAAACAAAAAAGCAACACCCAGAAAGCTCCCATGCTTTTTGGCTTCAAGTTTGGTGTGATGAAAATACAGTCACTTGTTTGAAACCTTATTAACAGGGCACTGAACCATTAAACCATTGGTTACAGCCATAGATGCTGTTACAGTGAGATTAAGTCGTTCTAAAAAAGCTATTTCGCTTTTCAGTCAGCTGAGAGGGTTTCTTAACTGAACAACTGCTATCACAAGAATGTATCTGACTCACCATTATTAGCCTCTGCTTTAAGGAGCAGTGAAGGGCTTTTTATTAGCGATAAGCTGATTTGACTCAACTGAAAAAGAATGGATAGCTTCATTCTTTGTTATTAGCATAGGATTTCAGGCACTTCACAAACCAGGAAAAAGAATGGGTTTAAATTTAGCTGGCAAATGTTTAATCAGGCTGAAAACTCTGGGTAGACAGAGTCTGGATGTAGCCAGCGTTAAAAATCCTGGTCAGATTACCTGAAAGCATGGGGCTGTGGGCTGGGATGCCTCTAAGTGAGGAGCAAAGCTGCGAAACAGGGAATGATAAGCAAACTTTATTAAAAAACTGCCAGGTTGGAATTCATGCTAGGAGTCTCTCTTAACTGTCTTTATGTCTGCAATGTAGGGGGAGCCATATATAGTATGGGTTCATTTCAGCAGGAACAGAAGAACGTCAGGTTTTCATCCACTTGTCTGTCATTTATGCTGATGTTTTAGTTTGGAAAAGACACGGAGAGCAGTGCTCACGTGTTACATGCCTGTCTATCACCCATTTGAAGAGTCTGAATAAACTATGAGGGTCGTGCACTATGAGGTCAGGCACGTCTTTGGGCACATTGTGGTCGATAGTCTTATTCACTGCTTAGAACTGAAGCCTGTCTTTCCTAGAATAGAGGCGTACTCATTGAGGCTTTGCCAGAGGCACTGACAGGGTGCAACATTGGCCCTCCAGAACACAGTCTTCACCCTCTTTCTGGAAAACTAGAAAATGAGGGTGGCAAGTATTTAGTGGTAAGCATTCCTAGGTCTTCAGAGACAAGGTACTGAAAATCCAAATGATATGCCTGAAGCTACCATTGAACATATGGTAACCAGATTCACCAAATAAAAAAAAAGTTGCCATATAATGTTTTTACTCAACACAGTAAACAAGTGATTTAAAGAAGCATAACCTCTGTGTGAAATATGCAATGTGAAATTTGCTAAGTCTTACATAATGAATGAGAAGAGAAGGAAAGGAGGCCTTCAGTTGAAAACAGTATTCACATGTAATTTTGAGAAATAATCAAATTCAGAAGAAAGGGTAGCGTCCCTTAAGATTCTTTTAAAGAGAAGGAGCCCAGTGGTTTGCTTTTAAAATACTGTTCTCATTGGAAATTCTTTTCTTATTGTCCTGTAGCGCTGCAGTGGCAAAATGTGGGTTTTTTAAAGTGAATTTAGTATAATCAAAACAACCTCACGTACATACATGCAGTAAACCACACTCTTTTGGCTTAACAGGACCAGGAACAAAACATACTTGTGGTCACAATCACAATCAACACTTCATCGGCAATTCCAGACAACAGTAGCAGAAAACAAAAACAGCATTATTCTATATGATCTAGATATCAAGCCAGATGGGTACCATCCATAGTATTATTTAAATAGTTTCTGTTCTGACTCATATTTGCAGTCTGAGCGTGGCAGTGTTTTAATTCATACTAAATCAGGACAAGACTAAACATATAAACCAATGAGAGTCAGACACACTAAAACAATTAGAATAAACAGGAGAAACTTTGGCATGGGAATTGAAAACAGCAAAAGCAAGGAACAAAATGTAAGATGGAAAAAGTCTTTAGATAGTCACAATAGCAACAGTTTTTCGCTTGAATTCAAGAGAATGAGACGACAGCCCAAATGCTGGAAAATGATGTTTGTTAGGATGTTCAAAATTTGAAGTCTTAGTTTTTCAGTGGATCTTAATCCTTCTCTCAGATTGCTTATTTCCTCTGGGGAACAGAACTAGAAAGTAGGGCTTCAGGCCCCCTCTTGTAACCATTGTCCTTGCAACAAGCCAACCAATTAAAGGCATTCACTAGAAGAAGACTTGGTGGAGGAAGCACTGACCTACAAAGTAGTGTGTTGCCAGAATGGACAGTAGTGACAAATGCATATCTGGAATTAACATCCAGAGGAGTCTGATGGGTGTGTCAAATCACCTTCATTAACAGAGCACAGTCCCTGCTTTTGCATAATGGCAAAGTTACCTCCATTGGTGAATGAGATTCTACCTCTTTCTCTTCAGCTTTTCCTGGTGGCTACTGTCTGCTGAAGTGCTGCAGTAAATGACTCACTGTCTCGTTGGAAATCCATAATCTTAAGCAGTGTATGTACTTTTTAAAGTGCAATACTTGGATCACTAATTTCAGCCTTTTTCTTTTTTGCAGGGATATGAAAAGGAATTTTCTTATGTTTCTTTTGAGGTAGCAGGGAAAGTCTCACATAAAACTTTGCTTTGTTTCCAGGTCTTTCACGTGTTCTCATTGCCACCGTTTCTCATGCATGCAGTCACCAAGTTTCAGAGTTCCTGTTCTTTCATATATTTTTTTCTGCTCTTCAGCTTCTCCTAGCAGCAGAGAAAAGTGTTCTAGAATCCTTCAAACCCATTCCGTTTGTGTTTTTGTTTTTATCTGTAATGCTTCCCCTGCAGCAGCCACTCCTCATTCTAGTCAATCTGCTGTTGCCAGCAGCATGGGAAAGCACAACTGAGAAGGAATACAAGCTTAGTCCAGTTGAGGAAATTAATCTTTTGGATCCAGAGAAAGGCATCGAGGCATGAGAGAATGTGTCATCTGTGAATTGTTTGCTTTATGTAATAGTGAAAAATCTGGGCTTGATTTCAGAGCCTCGTCTTCTTCTCTGACCTAGCAAAGTTTTGGATGTATAGTAAATGTAAGATCTGCAGGCTCTGTGCTTTGTTGTTCTGTCCTGATTATAGAGGACCTCAAATATGGTTTAGAACAAATCCCCTTTGACTTCTCTTGCCTTACAAGAAGAAAGCTGCATCCTGGGGAAAAAAAAAAAAAAAAAAAAATAGACAGTAAAAATCAGGTTGGTGAAATTCTCAATAACAGACTAAAGGAATAAAGTTGTTCTATACAAATATAGTTTCGAGTATCCAAAATAGCTCAGACTCTGCTTATTTGATGTAAGACCTGACTGACACAAAGCTCATTCATATCAGAGGAGGCTTTCCAATGCTGCAAACTGATGTGAAATTGTCTCTGCCCCCTGAGATAGGAGTGTTTATTTCAGGATGCATCACAGTTTAATGTTTTACTGTATTAAAACTATTGGGAATTACATTTCACTCCTGAAGAGCTTCCATCAAAGTTCTTCTAGCAAAAAAAAAAAAAAAAAAAAAAAAGTATAAAATATTGAAGAAGGTGGGGAAATGTCTGGCTGGATTTTACTTAAAAACACAGGATATCTAAGCTGAGGCCACCAATGACTTCTTTTAATGTATTACAAGAGCTGCATTTGCAACCAAGTTTATAAAACATGAGGAGGAGACA